CCTTTATTTTTCTCTTCATATCTCTTAGGTTTTCTGAAGATTGGCCCAGGGGATCTTGAATTAGGTGATAGATCCAACTCGTATAGAGAATTATGGATTTCCCCCTAGACCCAATTCTTCTCTAATATTGTCTGAACCAGGGACCAGCGCACTTCCTCTTCTTGTGGGGTTTCGAGTTTAGAGGAGATGGTGCTAATTGGTAATTGATTTCTTGGCGGGGATTTGAGTTGGGAGGGATATAAGGGAAAGTAATTAATTGTGATGGCTGGATTTGATTTTGAAATCGAGGAAGCTTTGAAGTTTCTGCAATCCTAGCGGCAACAATGTGGTAGCGGCGAGACGACGATAATTCTTTGCTTTTTTTTCTTCTTCTTCTTTCATTTGCAAGAACAAAACATTGAAGGGTAAATGTGTATTTTTCTTCAAAAAGGTGTGTTGCTTTTTAATTTATAAAAAAGTAGAATCATAGATACCAAACAATGTATTTGAGAAATACATTAATTTGCACAATACATATAATTACAATACACCAATTCATTGAATCCATCAATTTACACAATCACAACCTCCAAACATGCCCTTAGAGTTACAGAAGATCGATTGTTGGTAGGCATGGCAACAAAACCCGAACTCACGGGTACCCACCCGACCCAACCCGGTCAACGTGGGTAAAACCCATGTTGATGGGTTTTGGGCCGGGTTTGGGTTTAAACCGGCTACACTATTCACCGGGTTGAGTTTGAGTTTAGGTAAACCCGCCCCATGGGTACCCGCCCACACACATATAATTACTTTCCCGGTATATTTAATATTCTAAATAATATATCTTCCTTAAACAACTAATATTCTTTATGTTTGTGGAGACATGTATAATTTGTTCTTTTTAATTGTTTAGAATGAAGTTGATATTATGAAGTGGAGAGTGAAGAAACTTAGTTGACGAGGAAGAAGTTTTCAATTAATCTTATTGTTTATAGATGTGTATCTTTAATTTTGAACAATTTGTATTGATCATTTGCGGTTTGCTTGTACGCTCTAGATTGGTATTTTTTGTATGAATAATTTGTATGAGAAAATTGATGTTAAACTTTTGTTTTGAAAGAAACTTGTTATTGTAAATTTTTTACCACAAAAACCCACGGGTACCCATGAACCCGCGGATACCCAGCGGGTTGGGTTGGGTTTGAGTTTTTCAAACCCAGCGGGTTTTACCCCGGGTATTTTTGGCGGATAAACCCATGGGTTTGGGTTTGGATTTGACAAAACCCGCCCCAACCCGACCCATTGCCATCCCTAATTGTCGGTCTTGGTGTGCGTTCGGTGGCAGTTTATATCCTTTTACAGGTCGTAGTGTTTTTTGGGCACTTTATTCTTAGGAACTAAAAGAACTGTCCATTTCGTGGCTTTCAAGGCTCTTTCATCGATAGATCGATTAGTATCGACTGTCGTGATTTACTTTTCAAATAGATGTATTATCCTACCTATTATTATCCCTATCTATGAAAAAAAAGTAAGCAGCGTTGAAGCTAATATGGACTAGAACACTAGCTACAGATCACTTGCTTAATAATAGACTATGATTTTTCCCTGGGTAAAAATTAGGGCAGGAAACGGTGTGTTCTGGTCCAGACCAGATCATATACATGGTCTGCGGTCTAGACTCTAGACCAAAAAAGTAGAACAGAGACCATGGATCAGACCATAAACTATATGGTGCAGACCAGACCACGTCTGTGCGGTGCGGTCCGATTCGGTCAGGACCGAGTAGACCATGCTCAACAAAATATGTATTATCCACCTTGTCATAGGAAAAGCAACAAAATGAAACAAAACATAATGGAGACGGGGCAGGAAAATGAATTTAGCATTCATTTCATACAATGTACAACATTTTCAAACAAAGAGGAGGCTCATTAATTATTACCAATGAACAAACAAAGGGGAAGCTCGTCCAATTGAGAATTTTGGGTTGGAGGGGCCAAGACGACAATGGCGGATGTCGATGGCAGGCAGGCAGAGGTGGAAGGGGATAGAGATAGAAGATGTCGATGACGGAGGTCGATGGCGATGGCAGAAGGCAATGGTGATGGACAGAGATTGTGCAACGGAACCACTAGATAGTGAGTGACGGAGCTCCACCGTTGGCGGTAGAGCGAATGACGGACTCTCGGACAGGGGAAACGAGGCGGCGGCTGAAGCGCTATGTTTCCTTCTCGCTTCTCGGGTCTCGTTCTTGCAAAGTCGCAAACGCACAGTTGGGGATTGAGAAATGGCCGATCGACAATAGGAAAGTTGCAGCCGGGTGGAGCTACGAGCTAGGCTTGCGAGAGAAATGTAGTTGGACTTGGCCCTAAGGAGCTTATGAGCTGGGCTGAGAATGGGTTGTTCCTACAACTTGAAAGCCCGCACTTAATTTGGCCACAGCCTGGACAGTTAATCACGGTCTAGACCATACCAAACTGTTCTAGACCGCAAGTTAAAGAGGGAGATCGTGGACCAGACAATATTCATGGTCTTACGGCTCGGACCAAACCGTACGGTACGGTCTAAATTGAGGTTTGTCGTACGGTTTGGTATAGATTCCTAGCCCTAGTAAAAACAACATGGTCAACCCATCAAGGCAATAAACTTTCCATTACGAAATACATATGTATTTCAAAGCGAGTAGTTGCTAAAATGATATAGGATTGGGAATCAGTGCGGTCTGATTTATATAAGATTTTATAGACGATTTATGATTTAGATAGAGAGGTAGAGGCTGGATTACAGATCAGGGACCAGAAAAATATTGTACAGTTCAGATCATACCATGTCTACATGCTCTGGTACAATTCGAAGCTGCCTTACCACGTTAAGCAAAAAAATGAACATTTTTTTATGCGCCACAAAAAAAATCCAACCAATAATCGAGAACAATGGGTTTTCGCTTTAAGATCCATATTTCAATACACATGCATAATTTTTTTACAAAATATTATTATATATATTGATTGAAAGAGAGAGCGTTACATCCTAAAATTAAGCCATAAAATTAAAGAATCGACACGTAGTCGAATACAATAAAAAGACGTGTTGCATTATAAGTGGTGGAGAATGTCACGACTCAGAATGTCGTGACTGTGTTGACCGTCTAAAGAACGCGTGCCTTCTAGTTAGCTTGCCACAAGAGGGGTAAAGGGGGGGGGGGGACTCTCGTGATAAGGCGTTGTTTGCCTGAGCATCGTTCTGGCCGAGTCAGGATATGACTACGACGAGGAACGTTGCTTGTGAGGCAAAACTGGTCGGGGGCTATTTCCGCCTCCGTGATGAGCCCAAGGCAGGGTGAAACCAGTTGGCATTCAAATGTGGAGAAGGATAGTCTCGAGGTTGTGAGAGCCTCAAGACGCCGTACGGACTCTGAAAGTCTTCTCGTGACAAGTGGTATCAGAGCCCGGTTAGCCAGAAGATCCTAGTTCATCTGTGAGTATGGCTTAGGTTGTGTGTATGGGTCGATCCTATGTGGGAATGATAGGCAGTCCTGGGTGTGTATCAGGTGGTCCAGAACGTAGATACACATGTATTACGTCATTGTGGGGGAGCTAGACATGCGGAGGATGCAGCGGCCGAGCGAGAAACTAACGCTAGCGAGAGCGTAGGGTGAAGGTCGATTGAGGTACTAACACTGGGTGGAGTGTATGAAGGTCGACTGAGGTACTGACACAACAGAAGCGAAGAGTGAAGGTTGATGTCGAGTGATGACGCTGCGAGGGGCACAGCAGGCTAGCGCAAGAGATGCGAATTGAGCCTAACCATTAGGGGATGGTACCGTATGCGAAGGCCCACGATAAGTTCGAGGGTTGCAATATATGGTGCATAGAGAAGCATTCTTCAACAACATGAGGACGTGCTGCATTATGAGTGGTGGAAAATTTCACGACTCGGAATGTCGTGAACGTGTTGACCGTATGAAGAACGCGTGACTTCTGCTTAGCTTGTCACATGAGGGGTAAAGGGGGCGACTCCAGCGATAAGGCGTCGTTTGCCTGTGCATCGTTCTGGCGAGTCAGAATGTGACTATGATGAGGATTGTTGCTTATAGGGCACAACTGGTTGGGGGCTATTGCCGCCTCCCCGATGAGCTCAAAACAGGGCAAAACCAGTTGGCATGCGTATGTGGAGAAGGTTGGTCTCGAGATTGAAATATTAATTTTGAAAAGGCAGGAATGTAAGGGTGTGTTTGTGTAGAATGATTTGGATTTGGTATTTGTGATTTAGATTTTCAAATATTAAATCATGTGTTTGAATATTAATTACATTCGGTATTTGGATTTGTGTCAAATTCATGGGGTGATTTCCAAATACATGTCTAGTGTATTACTTGTCAACTTCAAATACATTTCAACAACTAGTCATTTGAAATACCTCCTAACAAAAGAGTGGACCTATTTGTAAAATATTAAAAGTTTAGGTACTATAGTGTGAGGCAAAACATATAAAGGTACCAAAATCTAATTTTACCATCAAAATTTCAGGACCTTTTTTGTAAAATTTTAAAAGTTTAGGTACTAAATTGTAAGGAAAAATAAATTTGGGTACCAAAATGTAATTTATCAAAATTTGTGGTAAATGACCAAAAAATTCAAAATTAAAATAAAAATTCATAAAATTTAAAATACAAACAAATTACAAGTATTCAAACAACGAATTTGAATTACATGCATTTCAAATGTTCGTACTTCAAATACATCCATTTGAAATACACCTATCCAAACGCATCTAAAAGTAGTTGAAGAACATTAGATTTTAGTTACTATATATATGTTATTGATTCTGGAATCATCACATAATGATTGAATTGTGTCCTAGCCGAGACATGCGATGTGTACTGGCCAAGACACAGAGAGGTAAAAATCAAATGGCCATGGGAGTGAATTAACAAACACTCTGGACATGTATGATACGTGATAGCATGCATTATATGACTATATATCAAGAGCCCACTTGAGCTCATGAAAGGATTTGAAATTTCAGCAATTATGGCTTTCGCCTGCTACTCTCTTTTCCTCATTTTGTGCTTCATAGTTTCTGCTGCCCCTTCTTTTGGATCCAGTACTGCCGACGAGCCGTTGCCTCACATACCTCTTGGAGGTGCAGATTGTGCCACTCCCCTCTACGACATGAAATCGAATTGTTGGGGCTACATTAGGAAGAACAACACCATGACGGTACCGGACTCCTGCTGCCACACGCTGCAATCGGTGTTGTCAAGATATCCGGAATGTTTGTGTGAGATCTTCTTTAGTGGTGGATATATCGATTTCGACATTGATATCACTAAAGGATTTGCCACTTTTGATGCTTGCAATGTGCGTGGCCGTGTAGTCTCTAGTTGCAGAGGTATGAAAACACATTTTTGTTTTGGTTCCTTAACATTTCTTCATGAGTTCTTTTTCTCATACTCATTTCGTGTGTATTTTTTGGTAGCAGATGTGGTTCGGACTATGGGTGCAAGCTCTAAGACATCTTCATCTACACTCATTGTGGTTGCTCTAGTAGTAGGCATGGCCATAGCGTTATAATTTCTATCCGCCTTTATGGACACTGTCAGCTAGTATCTAGCCAACATGATTTTTTTTTTGAAAGTTCTAGCCAACATGATTTACTTTTACGTGTGTGTAGTTTCTATGGTGCTTCATTGTTTTATGGGAACAATTTGTAGTGGTAGTCTTTGAGGCTTTGTTTGATTAAGCATGTAGTATATATGGTTAATCACGTTCTACTTCATGGTTTGGTTTAATATTCCACGGTTTGATGGATTATGAAATTTGAAAGGCCTCTGAGTTTGGTATATTTAATTGTTTGTTTGAATTTCGAGATGACAAAAATATCCCTAATTATAAATATTCGTGTATATACGACCGGTGAGATAGAGAAAAATTATCAAAAACTCGATGAATATGGATAAACACTAGAGGTGGCTCTTTGAATTAAATTCACTAATCCAATCCATCCACTAAAAATCCAATTAATCTAAATCCAATTGGATTTGTGAATACATAGATATTTGAAAATTACAGTTCAGTACCTATACTTTTTTCATTCTAAGTTTTGATACCTAAATTTTAATTTTAAACAAAAAATATCATTCTAAGTTTTGAAATCCACCAACCCATTTAATCCAATCCATGAATCTACCAATCCAATTCACGAATCCAATACATTTTACCAGGCTAAATTACACATTTGGTCACTCGAATTACATAAATATTTCACGTTTGCTACCCAAATTACTTTTCTTTCATATTAACCACTAACTTTACGTTTCGTTTCACCGTTGGTCACCCTCCGTCAGTCTCCATCAGACTCCGTTAACGTCGTCAGATTTTTGATGACGTGGCAAACGGAAGTGTTGACTAGGATGACAGAGAAGCTCAAACAGACGACACTAGGGTGCTGAAGTGGAATGGGAGGGAAAAATAACCCATTTCCCCCATTTTCAAATACTTTTTACCTTCTTGGGAGGGAAAAAACTCTTACCCACCATTAAAACCCTTCTCACCTCATTTTTGTTCTTTCTCATCCATCCAAATTCCATACAACACCTCTCTTCTTCATCGTCCTTCATCTTCTCCATCTTCCTTATTCTTCCACTTTCCTTATTCTTCCTTCTCCATCTTCTTCCTTCTCCTCTGCAACAACTTGTGATCTCTGAAGGTTACCGATCTAAGCCATGACTAACCCATATTGTCATTGTGGGTACCCAACAAGTTTGAGGACTAGTTGGACCGATGCAAATCCAGGGCAGAAGTTCTATGGATGTGGCAAGTTTGGGGTAAGACCATTTCAATCTCACTTCCTTTCGTGCTTTATGTACCTTCTGTTTGGGTTTAGGTTTTAACCATTCCCCTCATTGTGCTTTCTTCTGTAGACGAATGGAGCATGCAATTATTTCAGATGGTATGAACCAACCCTTGATGAGCATATGCGAAACGTTGTGCTCAGCCTCCATCGTCGAATTCGAGATCTAGAGAGAAGGGAACCAAGGAGAGCTTACAAAATAACTGTCAAAATGACTTGCATCTTCACTGTAATGGTCATTGTATTTGGTTTCTGTGTAGAGAAGAAAGTAGCAGATTGCATCATAATTTGAGCACGACAGTTTTGGAAATTCAAATCAGAATCAAGCAGAAGTGGGAAGAATCAAATACTTACCTCCTCAAGCCAGATTCATCTCCAACGGTCCCAAGATCAGCAAAAGTATATAGGTTGAGTGTGGGATGAGTAGCAGATAGTTTTTCCTAGTGATTGAGAACAAAAGAGAGGGCTAAACAGAGCAAGAGTCTTTTGTAATCGGGGAGATTAGCAGGGAAAAACAAGGTTGATTGAACGGGGAGTTTGAATCACTAGAGATAAGTCTTTTGGTCGATCAGCAGGGAGCTGATTCAGAGGTTGCCAAAGTTTGTAAGAAGAAAACCAATCATAGTGATTAAGTAGGAGATCTCAAGAGGAGAGTCTCCTACCGTGGATTAGTCGGTGTTAGGTTCATTAATCACCTAACACCGGATACCACGTAAAAATACTGTGTGCTGTGTTTATTTGTGCTTTTACTCTGCTGCATTTTATTTCCAGTTTGCACTTGTGTTCTTGGATTAGTTTGTGTTCAAGTTCTTGTGCAGAACAGGTCTTGATCGATTTGCACAAGGAGAGAAGAAGGAAACTGTGTTAGTAAAACGCAGCACTTCCTGCAAGTGGTTCGGGCCAACTTAAAGTCAACCGATTGATAACAAATTAAGCCCAACCCACGTTAAGTCTCGGTTTCAATTTCGATGTCGTTTTGGTGAGCAAGAAAGGGAAGTTGCTTTACCCTTTCATCGATTCATTTCGCTGTTTATTCAACTGTGCTCACTTGTTCTTGCCAAAGTCGAATTTAGGGGTAGACAGATTCTCATTTGATCAGAGGAGTAGAGGAAATTGTCGCCGGAGTCTCGCGCTCGACTCAGTTTACACGTGGTATCAGAGCCCGGCTCCAGCAGCAAGGGCTTAACTGCCTGCGGAGAAGATGAGTTCAAGCTCGATGAGCGGAATCTTCATGGCAGATGGATTCTCTCAAACTCGACCACCGAGGTTTGAAGGAGTCCACTATGGATACTGGCGAAATCGAATGGAGCTGTTCATTTGCTCCACAGATCCTGATCTGTGGGACATAGTAATGGATGGGCCTTTGGAGGTGAAAGAGGCTCGTGGAAATTGGACTGAGATGGACAAGAAAAATTTCCAGATGAATTCAAAGGCCACGAACCTGATGTACTGTGCGCTGGGTCCCGAAGAATATCACAGAGTAACCGGATGCAAGACCGCCAAGGAAATCTGGGACAAGCTGCAGATTGCACATGAAGGCACTTCACATGTCAAGATCTCCAGAATCAACAGTCTCGAGCAAGAGTTTGAATCCTTCAACATGAAGCCCAAGGAATCAATCAAAGAAATGAACGAGCGATTCACAACAATTGTTAACAGTCTGAGAAATCTGGAGGTTGAGTACGCGAGTGCTGACTTGGTAAGGAAAGTACTGTGGGCACTCCCCAAAAGATGGACTCCTAAAGTTACTGCTATTGAGGAGTCTAAGGACCTTACCAAGCTAAGCCTAGACGAACTCATTGGTTCCTTAGTCACGCACGAAGAAAAATTGACAAGGGAGGATAGTGAAGAACCCAGAAAGGAGAAGAAAGGAATCGCATTCAAGGCCTTCTCTCAAGAAGATGATTTAGATTGCTTGGAAGAAATGGAGGATGATGAGTTGGCGATGCTCAGTAAACATGTGGCCAAGTTGCTTCGGATCAGAAAAGAAAAGAAAAGAAAAGAGGGAGCTATCTAAACAAGTCAAAAGAGGGTGAAAATGAGAATTCAGTCGACCAAGCAGGTTCGGACCAAAGAACAGGAGAGATGGAATGACCTCGGAGAGAACATCAACTCAGTCTGGGGGCTTTAAATGTGGGAGGCTCGGACATGTCAAGGCAGAATGTCCCCTGATGAAGAAAGAAAAGGCGTATGCTGCAACCTGGAGTTGCAATGAGGAAGATGAAGATGATGCCAAACAGGAGGCATATATGGCAATTGAAGAAAGCGACATTGAAGAAAATGAGGTACACATTGAACTCTATTATTCAGATTCATTTAGTGAAAGTGATCAATTAGATGAAACAATCATGGATATCCAAAATGAATTTATAAAGGTAAAACAAAGGCATATCTTGATAAAATCTAGATATGAAAAGTTGTTAGATGATGTCTCAAAAATAAAAGCCGAGAAAACATAAGTAGAGAATGAGCTTGTACTTGTTGAAACTGAAAAATGATAGATTGAAGAAAAGAATTAGTATAGCCGAGGCTGAAGTTGAAAACTTAAAGGCCGAGAAAGCTAACATTCTCTTAGAAAGAGGGAGCAAGTAAAACCACAAGATAAAGCCTAAAGTTAGAAAGTCTGAATGCTTCTATTGTCATAAAACTGATCACTACATTGCTGAATGCAGAAAACGTCTAGCAAAAGAAAATCTATCAAATAATGCAAACTGTTTTAACTGGCATGAGGTTGGACATTCGAGTAAAACTTGCTCAAAATATTTTCAAATGGGAAGGGTAACCAAATTGGTTTGGGTACCTAAAATCAAATGAAATTCATTGTTTTGCAGACCTGTCTCCAAGTGAGCATGGCAGACAGCGTTTGAATACTAGATAGTGGTTGCTCACATCACATGACGGGGGATAAAAAGCTCTTCTCAAAATTGGTTCTAGGAAATAAAGGTAAAGTCTTTTTTGATGATAATTTTAGTACTGAAATCCTAGGAAAAGGGAAAGTAGGAACCATACCTTCAATTAATAATGTCATGCTAGTTAAGGATCTCAAACATAACTTAATTTCAATAAGTCAGATGTGTGGAGACACAAATAGGGTAATCTTTGAACCAGATAGGTGCTATGTGGAAGAAATCTCAAGTGGAAAGGTGCTTTTCACTAGGAAACGGAAAGGAAAACTCTTTACCATAGATCTGAATGATAAAGCTGCTTTCAATGAGACTTGTCTGGTGTCCGTAGATAAAAATGATCAAATTGAGTGGCATCGTAGGCTAGGTCATGTTAGTGTGAGCACTCTGTCAAGATTAGTAAACCTAGACCTAGTTAAAGGAATTCTTAAAATCAATTGTAAGAAGGAATTTTTCTGTGATGCCTGTGCTAAAGGAAAACATTCTCGAACCTCTTTTAAAACTAAGGCAGTCATTTCAACCAACAGACCTCTGGAATTATTTCATCTTGACCTGTTTGGACCAAGTAATATAAAAAGTCTTGGTGGCAAATACTATGCATTTTTTATTGTAGATGATTTCTCCAGGTATACTTGGGTACTTTTCTTAGCTAGTAAAGATGAAGCCTTGTCTGAATTCAAACATTTTGCTGCCCGAGTAGAAAATGAAAAACAGTAAAAAAATCATTAGTATTAGAAGTGACCATGGTGGAGAGTTCATATCTGAAAACTTTGAAATGTTCTGCAATGAAAAAGGGATTTCACATAATTTTTCTGCTCCAAGAACCCCACAGCAAAATGGTGTTTTTGAAAGGAAAAACAGGACCTTGATTGAAATAGGAAGGACTATGCTTAATGACTATGGTGTATCTAAGCAGTTCTGGGGGGGAAGCTATTAACACAGCCTGTTACATAACGAATAGGGCGTTGATCAGATCCAAATTAAACAAAACACCCTATGAATTATGGAAGGATAGAAAACCTAATCTAGGTTACTTTCATCCATTTGGATGCAAGTGTTTTGTTTTGAATACTAAAGATCAACTAGGAAAATTTGATTCAAAGTCTGATGAAGGAATCTTCCTGGGATATTCTACAAATAGTAAGGCTTATCATGTCTATAACAAAAGGACCCTCAAAGTTGAGGAGTCCATTAATGTGATGTTTGATGAGTCTGCAAGTAAGTGTGCAGAGGTATTGGAAGATGATGATGATCTCGAACTCAGCTTGAGTCATTCCAAGGGAACTGTTCCTGCTCCTGTCATTCAGGAATCTGTTCAAGAGGAAATGCCTGAAGTAGCGCACAAGCCAGAGGCACCTCCTCATATCCAGAAACGGCATCCACCCTCTCTTGTGATTGGAGACCTAAACCAAGGTATGATCACTCGCTCTAAATCCTATCCTGAGCACACTGCCTTCATTTCCCTGGTAGAACCTAGAAGTATTGAGGAAGCCTTGGAAGATGAGTACTGGAATGCTGCAATGCATGAAGAGATGCATCAGTTTGAAAGAACCAAGGTCTGGGACCTAGTTCCAAGACCTAAAAACAGAACTATAATTGGAACTAAATGGGTCTATAGGAACAAATCTGATGAAATAGGAATTATCATAAGAAACAAGGCTAGGCTAGTGGCACAGGGGCATAACCAAGAAGAGGGAATAGACTTTGATGAGACTTTTGCACCAGTAGCTCGATTAGAAGCAATTAGACTGTTATGTTCTTTTGCTGCATCAAAGGGTTTTAAATTATATCAAATGGATGTAAAAAGTGCTTTTCTGAATGGAGATTTAAAAGAAGAGGTATATGTGGAACAACCTCCTGGTTTTGAAAACCCTGAACACCCAGATTATGTTTATAAACTAAATAAAGCTTTGTATGGACTTAAACAAGCTCCTCGAGCTTTGTATGATAAGTTAAGTCAATTTTTAATAAATGATGGGTTTCATAGAGGGCAGGTAGATAAAACTCTGTTCATTAAGAAAAAGGGTAAAGATACCCTGCTAGTGCAAGTCTATGTAGATGATATAATATTTGGATCTTCCTGTGAACAAATGTGCAAAGACTTCGCAGAAACAATGAAAGGAGGTTTTGAAATGAGTCTGATGGGTGAACTGAACTTCTTTGTGGGATTACAGATTACAAACCAAGGATGGGATCTTCATTAGTCAAACCAAATACCTCAATAATATGCTTAAAAGGTTCAACTTTAATAATCTCAAAACCATTTCGACTCCTATGGGATCCTCAATTAAACTCACTAAAGATGAGTCTGGAAAAAGCATAGATAGTAGGCTGTACAGAGGTATGATTGGATCTTTGCTTTACTTGACTGCAAGTAGACCAGATATCATGTACAGTGTATGTGTTTGTGCTCGTTTTCAGAGCAACCCTAAGGAGAGTCCTAGTTTAGGACTCTGGTATAAAGCGGATCTTTAGGTATCTTGCTGGAACTCCTAGTTTAGGACTCTGGTATTCTAGCTCCTCTAGCTTAGAATTGCTAAGTTACAGCGACTCAGACTATGCTAGCTGTTCTGTGGACAGGAAAAGCACCTCAGGTGCATGCCATTTCCTTGGCACTTCCCTTATAGCCTGGTCCAGCAAGAAACAGAGTTCTGTTGCTCTTTCGACTGCTGAAGCAGAATATGTTGCAGCTGGTTTGTGCTGTACACAACTTCTGTGGATGAAGTACCAGCTCAAGGACTATGGTATTGAGTTTAAATCCCTGCCTGTCATGTGTGATAACACTAGTGCTATCAACATGACAAAAAATCCCATTCAGCACTCTAGGACTAAACATATTGAGGTTAGATACCATTTCATTAGAGATCTTGTCCAGGAAGGTAAAATTCATCTTGAATTTATTGGCACTGATTTTTGGTGGGCTGATATCTTTACTAAACCATTGAGTGCTGACAAATTTCTTTCCATTAGGAGAGAGCTTGGTCTCTTCACGATGGAGGAAATCTATGAACTTCCATAAATCCTCCACAATATTCTGTCTTAATTCATCTTGCCATAACTGTCAGACTAGAATCTCTTCTTTCCTCAACCTTGAGTCCCTTCCTTTTCACTTCACTCATCCCTCCTATATATCTACTCTTGACTCATCCCCTTTGCATCATCAACTCAGAAACTTCGACACTGCTTTCTCACCATTTCAACATGGCCCCAAACAATCCCCAACTTCATCCTGCTGCCACTTTCAACAATCACGGGTTTCACAAACCATCTCGATACCTTAGGTATCTCAATCATTTCTATAATCGCCCGTTATATCCATCCTTTCCTATTCAGCCTTCTGCCTTCAGAAAATATGATCTGGATGTTCCGGATCTTATTCACAAGCTTGGCTGGGATTCTCTGTTTGAGAATCAACAATTCAGCCAGTGTCCTGAAGGGGTCAGGATGTTCTACGCAAGTCTAAAATGTGGCCCTGGCTCCAGTCCCTCTTTTTTCACCACTGTGGTGTATAACCATGAAATCAGAGTCACAGCCTCTCTCTTGGCTGAAACTCTTGATCTACCTTGTTTCGGATCTTCTGCTGCCCCCGATGATGACTTTCCTTCCATTGGTTTTGACTACGGGTCAGCCATTGAATCTCTCTCCTATGATATTGGGCGATACTATCCTTCCAAACTATCTGCGGGTCGTCTTGCAGATAAGTTTAAAGTACTTCATTTTTTCATCACCCGAATCCTGCTTCCTCGTAGCATTTCCTCCGGTGAACTTGTGCACCCTGCCGATGCCTGGATCATGGTGAATGCTCGTGATGGGGTCAACCTTAACTTCTCTACACTCATGTTTGCTCATATGATTAAATATGGTGATGAGAACTATTCTGGCCCTCTCCCATTTGGCCCTCAAATCACTCGCCTGCTATCTCGAGTTGGCATTGACCTTCGCGATAAACGGCTAGTCTGCGATGTTCGCGAAGATCTGCATGCTCAACACATCCTCTCTCGTGTTGACGCCCAGGTTGGTCGGAGAAAGCCTGTCATTTGCTCAGGGGGAGAGTCTGCTGATGATACTGCTGATGATCCTAAGCAACCGGTTCCTGCTCTGGTGGAGGCTTCATCTGCAGTACTCAACAGACAAATCACAGCTATAAAGCGCAAAGAACTAGCTGGCTTAGAATTTCATGCTGCTCGGATCAAGATGGCAAAGGAGTCTGAGTTATCCAACACTCAGGAGGAAGAAGCAGGGGGCATATCGGACTATGAGTCGCCACCTGAATATGATTTTTAAGTAGAGTAGTTCTGAGGATCTGTCATTGATTTGTCATGTCTGAGTCGTGTTAAGCTATGAGTCAAGTCAATCTATGTGTTCCCTGCAGCTTTTGGAATAAAATAAACGTTGCCTTCTTCTTGTGATTTATAGAACTGGTCAATGCATAGTTTGTGTAGAACAGGCTGCACCAATCGTTTGCTGAGATGTGCAGGTTAATTGTGAGATCAGCATATTGGAGCAAATGATATGCTTAGGGGGAGAATGTTGAGAGATCATAGTGATTAAGTAGGAGATCTCAAGAGGAGAGTCTCCTACCGTGGATTAGTCGGTGTTAGGTTCATTAATCACCTAACACCGGATACCACGTAAAAATACCGTGTGCTGTGTTTATTTGTGCTTTTACTCTCCTACATTTTATTTCCAGTTTGCACTTGTGTTCTTGGATTAGTTTGTGTTCAAGTTCTTGTGCAGAACAGGTCTAGATCGATTTGCACAAGGAGAGAAGAAGGAAACTGTGTTAGTAAAACGCAACACTTCCTGCAAGTGGTTCGGGCCAACTTAAAGTCAACCGATTGATAACAAATTAAGCCCAGCCCACGTTAAGTCTCGGTTTCAATTTCGCTGTCGTTTTGGTGAGCAAGAAAGGGAAGTTGCTTTACCCTTTCATCGATTCATTTTGCTGTTTATTCAATTATGCTCACTTGTTCTTGCCAAAGTCGAATTTAGGGTTAGGCAGATTCTCATTTGATCAGAGGAGTAGAGGAAATTGTCGCCTGAGTCTCGCGATCGACTCAGTTTACAGTTTCATCTTGTTGGGAAAATAAGAAAATGTTGCTTCACTTGGATCACTAGAATGTTGTTTATGTTTCAATTGTACCATTGTAATGTACTTTCCGTTTCATCTGTACCACCGGAATGTTATTTATTTTTCACGGAAGCCACTACGGAGTTTTTTTATATTTCATCTGTATCACTATGATTTTGATTGCATTTCATGAATGCCACTGCGTTGCTGGTTTTCTTTCGTTTGTATCACTCTGATATTTTCACTTTGATATGTAACACATTGTATAGAATAGAACAATACATAACATAAATGCAACCATAACCCGCTGAACATGAATTTAACCAAAAGCCATAAACTTTACCGAACACTTCGAACTGTTTTACAGCAGCCATTACACTACCATTGCTGGTCCCCCTAAAGTTCAACAATATGTTCAACATACGATTACAAGACAACCATTCTGCTTGTCCTAACCAAGCACTACAATAGACATGAATGACTTCAAAATATTCAAAAAAGCAGGCATTCAGCTTGACCGAACCAAGCACTACAATAGACATGAATGACTTCAAAATATTCAAAAAAACAGCCATTCAGCTTGACCTAACCAAGCACTATAATAGGCATGAATGGCTTTAAAAGTCTACACCCTACTTTTCACAGATTGCTCCTATGTGAGTCTTGGCTTGGTTGCTGGGACACTTGACTTGCTGGCCTTTGGGAACTTCCCTGCAAAATTAAATTACATCAGTAGGCTTATAAAAATATATTGAATGGCATGCTCACAAGGGATTCCAGTCAGATCCCACCTTCTGCAAGTACAATTCTTTTTTCTCAAGTTAACAACAAGTTGCTGATTTTGCCACCTCACCTCAAACTCCCCGTTGTCGTTTGATTCAGCAGAGCACTTAAGAGCTTTTTGTCCTAGAGCTTGCAACTTCTTCTCAATGTTTTTACACAAAGGACCAGCCCACTTGTTGGCTAAACGTCGTCTTTTGGCATATAGCACCATCAGCCTCCTCCTAATCCCTTCCCACATGCCAACAGGACCCGTATCCCTCTCATCGACGATGACATTATTCCAGCTCTCAACCAGGTTGTTCGTGTCCATATCTGTTGAAATGCGACCTGGACCAATGGTAGTATGACTTGTCGACAAGCCAATCATAAGAAGGCTTGTTGTAATCCGACAGGCTTCTCATAGCAACTTGGAATTCAGAGATAATGGTGGCTCTAGCTGCTTCACAGAATAAGTCCTTAACCCTCTTTGATGATCCACATGCAGCACTTAGATTGGTCACAAGATGCCTGGTACAATGACGCTTCTCACTAGAGGGAAACACCTCATCTAGTGTTGGCATTAGACCCTTCAGAATGAAAATTACAGCAATGGTTAACACCAAAAAAAATTAATTTATAGCAGCAACAAGTAAATTGAAGGCAGCAAGAATGAGTAAAAATCGCACCTTTTGCTTGTCGGAAATGAATGTCCATCCAGGATTATCATTAATATGCAAATCGGTTCCCAGAAGCTCCAGGAACCAAAGCCAATTATCCTTGTTCTCCACCTCAACATGAGCAAATGCGATGGGAAAATATTGATCGTTTGCATCAATACCAACGGAAGATAGCAGCTGGCCACCATAATCATGCTTGAGCAAGCATCCATCGATGCATATGACTTGCCTGCAGCCAGCTCTAAAACCTTTCATTGATGCCTCAAAGCACACATACATGCGATTGAACACTTGTTCTCGTTGCTGAACTACAACAGTGGAGTTTGGATTGCTCCTCGTCAACTCTGCAGCATAATGATATAAGCTTCTGTATTGGTCCCTAATAGATCCACGAACCTTCTCAATTGCTGTCTTCTTGACTCTCCATGCCTTCATATCCCCAATCTCCTACCTATAATCTTCCTTCACAATTTGTTTCAGCAACTTCTTACTCATATTGTGATCTGCTGCGACCTTCTTAGTCATTTATCACCCAAGAACTTGTATGTTGCATACCTATTTTGGAAGGTTAAGGTGCAATCTGGTGTGTGCTCCAGTTTGCACCTAGTGATCTGCACAGCATCTTCATCCCTCACCTTGGATGCCCATATGTACCAATGACATGGTGGCTCGCACATCACTTGCAGCCTCTTACCATGACTTCTTTTAAAGAATATTGGTCGTTTCTCAACAAAAGAGCATTGCTTGAGTGCATCCTTCAACACACCAAAGCTGCTGAATTTTTGAGAAATGGCAAAGGTTGGCTTCTCCATGTCCCGATCCACCCGAAATTTTGGAACGTATGAAGCATCAGACTCGTCCTCCGAACTGTGGATAGATCTACGATCATCTGAGTCTACGGGATCAGACTCCTCTTCATCCACTTCTGCATCACCAAGGTTTTCTTCTCCTCGACCATCTACCCCCATACCAGCCGCCACATCTAAATTCACATTCTTCTCATAGTTTATATCATCACCAATGCTAAGATCCGACCCAGAATCGACCTCAAAGTCACTATCTTCATCCTCTCCTTCATAATCACTGTCATCATCTTCGTCCTCAACAACAGTTACTTCCTTTTCTGCGGGTGGAGTTGCATCTTCTTCGTCATCACTATCCATAAAGTCCAGAACTTCATGCTCAACCATAGCATACAGTTCAATGATCCTAGGAGCTTCATTAGCTGCTTGGGCCATTTCCAATAAGTCTTCATCTCTTGTAATCTCTGTCATTGATTCATCAAGAGGAGCTTTCCAAAAAAACGTCGAATTTGGAATCTTCCCACCACACTCCTTGTAGATGTCTAGCAAGTCGAGGATGGACAGCAGATCAATATCAGCATGGTCATAGTAAACAATGTCCTTCTCCTTGAGAAAATGCTTCCCACTCTTCTTTTTGAGTTCATGTTCGACATGAACTTCAAAGCTGAACTCCCCATTGCATTCACCTGTTCGGTGATGAAGAAAATGAAAGAGTTAAGAAAAAGAAAGCAAACAGTGATGTAATAAAGCCTACAACAACTCCCTTTATCTTCCTATGCTCATCATAAATAGATATTGACAATGAAAAAGACAAAAAGGAAAGCAATTTTCTATTCAATTGACGTTCTCAATAGCTGCCAACTTAATAAACAATTCAGTACAACACACTTTCCACCTACAAAGATAAGAAAGCAATGAAACTTACAATATATAGGCATGGGAGCATTTGGTTGCCGCACATGTCCCACCATAATGTTTCACAAATGGGACCAAAACCCTGAAAACGAAAAAAAAGATTCCACTGAGAATCAGAAAATCGTTTCCTTTCACTTTTCCCCTTCCGCCCAGTTTACATGCAGCACACAAATAACAAATTTAGGTGAAAACAAACCCAATAAAAAGGCTAATGACCTTTGCTTCACTGTCTTCTTGCCGAGCTACAACCACAAAGTAGATCACACTATGGTTTCTGTCGATCTTCAAATTCACAAGATTTTAGGGTTTCTGTCGATCTTCTCTGATCATCAAACAAAATAGCTTCGATAAGAAGAGGCATGGAAGGAAGGAAAGAACGAAGAGGATGGAGAAGGTTAGAATAGGGTTTCTCTTTACTTACCTCCGCCTCCCTGCCTCAAAACCTTCTCCCCTGCCCGATCGACCGCTTCCAACAAAGAAGAATGGGAAGGAAGACGAAGCAAACCTCCCTTGCACGATCGACTCGAGTGGACCCTGATTTCCCCAGTGATCGACGCGAGAGGGAACCCTGTAAACGATCTTTCCCCGACGTTCTCCGCCTCCAGCATTGAAGTGAAGAAAGGGAATCGACTCGACAAAAGAATGAGCGTTCCTTCTGACCTTTCTTTTTTACTTTTTTACTTGATCCAATAAAAAGTAAAGTTAAATTGTACAAAAAATAAAAAATAAAGTAAAATCAAATAAAAACGAACGGGGTCGTTTTTCACTGGGTCGGGTAGTGTGGCTGACTCCGAGTCAAACTCAGCCTCCGTGTCATCCCAGTCAGCACTTCCGTTTGCCACGTCATAAAAAATATGACGGCGTTAACGGAGTCTGACGAAAGGTGACCAACGGTGAAACGAAACGTAAAGTTAGTGGTTAATATGAAAGAAAAGTAATTTGGGTGGCAAACGTGAAATATTTATGTCATTCGACTGACCAAATGTGTAATTTAGCCCATTTTGCCATCTCTAATAACTAGCACCGGGCCTGGCCGGTTGGCCAGGAGAGTTTAGA